AGCTCCGCCTGCCACTCTCCGCTGTCCTAGAAAGCCTGCTTCCCCACTGTCTACCCCGCTCTGATTTCATCCTCTGTTTCCCAGATGAATCTCAAGCTGTGTTACTTTGAGACCTAATATGACAAATCCATGGAGTCTATGATCTCAAATATTCAAAAATGTGGAAGAATCACTGAGGCAGGAGCATCGCCTGAGCCCAGGAGCTTGAGGCTGAGAGTGGGAGGACAAAAGGGCAGGTGGGGAGAAGACCCTCCCTGGTGGCCCTGCAGCGCCTCTGTGGATGGATTTCACGAAATAGTACAAAGGGACACTGAGGGTCAATAAACGAATGCCCTGAAAACCACCTGGCAAGAAACCCTTGTAAAGTTTCTCGGTAACCTCAGGGGGATGCAGGCCACAGTTTAAAAACCATTCACTCAGAACTCCAGGGCTGCAGGTGCTTGCTTAGCATCCAGGCTGCTGACAGAAGCGCTGTTTAGGCAAGATGCCAGGGGGATTTGGGAGCAACCCACCTCTCTAGGTCGATGCTTTTCAAAATGGGTTTCCTAGACCACCTGCATCAAATATTATCTGGGTGTTTATTTAATATGTTTAATATGAAGATTCCTAGGCTCTGTCTCGAATCAGCTGAAAAGGAATCTTTAGGAAGAGGGACATGTGAAACTGTTTTTTGAAGTAATTTATAGCAACGAATGTGCTTTGTTGTTGTTGTTTGTTTGTTTGTTTGTTTGGACAGGGTCTCACTCTGTCCCAGGCTGGAGTGCAGTAGCCCCTCATCATCACACCCACAGCATTCTGCTTTGTCTGAGGCTTCCAAATGTATTCCCTAGTTTCCACCACACCATGGCAGCCCCTCAAGCACAGGGGCTGGATCTATGTCTAATTCATCGTTGTGGCCACATCCTAGCCACGTGACTAGCACATAGCTGTGCTCAATAGATACTTGTTATATGAATAAATTCGTAGTAAGTAGAAGACAGAGAAATGAAGAAGGTGGCCGGGTGCAGTGGCTCACGCCGTAATCCCAGCACTTTGGGAGGCCGAGGTAGGAGGATTGCTTGAGTTGAGGAGTTCAAGACCAGCCTGGGCAACATGGTGAAACCCTGTCTCTACAAAAAATAAAATAAAATAAAATAAAACAAAATAAAATAAAATAAAATAAGAAGGGAAGAATGTTTGAGGACCTCCCAAATATAGGATTAGTACTCAGTCACTAATACACTAAGGAGTAGATTGGCGGTATGGATCACCACAACCAAAAGGTAACCTCCAAACCATTTCTATCAGACCATCACCCATCTATCTACCATCTCTCTATATATGTAATCTATATGTGTATATATAATCTATATAGGTAGATAATTTATATATATATCTATATATAATCTTTAAATTATGCAGTGATAGAAAGGGCAGGATTATGCGATGGCAGAGGGGATTATGCCTTGAGCTTTTGGAACTATGGAATATCAACGTGGAAGACTTGAAGACCTATTTGCTGGGGACCCTCTAAACCTCCTAGAAAACAGTGACAAGAACTTTGGGACATCTGCGGGGACACCGGATGTTCTGGCGTTTATGAACCAAGCCTGGGGGTGCTGTGAAATTGTGGTGGTGTTTTCAGCGAGGACAACAAGGCTGCTGATTTGTCACTCAAGTGCCCTTTGGCCCGTTGCCTGGGAATTCATCTTAAGGTCTCAGTGAAGGAGACTGTCCATTAAAGAGCCCGATTACCCACCAGAAGCCTAATTAGTAACTGAACTTGCCCCTGGGCGAAGAAGAACCCTGAAGCCTGAATTCAAGACAGCGGCAGGGAAAACAGCAATGGTCAGTTACAGCCACCAGGTGGCGCAAGAGAATGCCAAACTCCCAGGAGCGCAAGGCAAATCCACATCCTGGTTCTTCTCCCGTAAGAGACTTCCGGTAACCTCAGAAATTTGTCTGGAGGAGTGCGTGGAGCCAGACGCCGTTGAAACGGTAACCCAAGACCTTCATTTCACCCTTGCCTCAGTTTTACCCTTAAAATTACACCCAGAAAATGAACTGTCTGATAGAGCTGGCTCTTGAGAGCCAATTGCTAAATTTTTAGTCCGTCTTTTCTCAACCTCATGGTCAGTGACACCAAGTTGGTAACTTGAAATTGGCCATGGAGGAATATTTACACCATGGAAATCAGCAAATGCTATAAATTAGTTCTTAGGAGGGTTGGTTGTTAAACATTTACCCAACACTCCTGGGTGAGGAGAGACCGCCCATAAATTGTGCTGGGAGGCAAAAGAGGAAAGTTTGGCGTTACAATTGTGCTGGGAGGCAAAAGAGGAAAGTTTTGCTTCTGATAATAACTCGGACAAAGTCAAATGTAGCAGCTAAAAATGTGGACTCTGTATTCAGGATTTAGGACTTAAATGTGTACTTCGCCATTTATTAGCTGTGTAGACTTGAGCAATCCATTCTTGGTGCCTGTCTCTTCATCTGTAAAAAAGATATAATTGTACCTACTTAGTAAGGCTACTGGAAGGGTTAAAGGAATCCCTACGTATAAGTCACCTTAAATAACTATACGTGTTAGATATTACTATTACGAAAAGGTGATGAAATTATTAATACCATTAATACAGAAATCATTACAATGTAAACAACAGAGACACACTTGAATTTTAAGACCTTAAAGCCATTCACCAATCTTGTTATATTTGTATATTTAATTTCACATCCTGAATTAAATTTATTTTCTGGAAAGTAACTAAACACATTGCCTGATTTTAATCCAGAACAATAAGCTTTTCACTCTCATACGTTCTCTTTTGAATATTTGGGAAGTAAATTATATATTTCCAGGGTTTTGCTCTAAAGGCTTTTTATTCTCTTTCTTTAAATATTTTGTAAATATCAGAAAGTCAGGTGGGTTTCCCGAAGAGCATGCCATTTAACATGAGTATATCTTAAATTGTCTGAGTCCAACAGAGGTTGCTCAGAAATTGGGTTAATAGAGACTCTAAGTCTTATTCCTCTAATGAGAGGCGAAGGGTTTTTCTCCATGTTTTGGATGGTGGCAGCCTTTGAGAATAAATAGAGGAAATGATCTCTAATAGCAACAGAAGGAAAGTAGAACAATCTAGAACAACTAGACATGTGACTTTCTCTGAAACCACAAAGTAAATAAAAGACTCAGCTTTATGATTTAAAGAGCTTCATCAATTAGGTCTGGATTTTGATTGATAAAAAATTCAGGAGGTCTGCTTACATAAAATTGTGAAAGACTTTTCTAGAAGTTTTGAAGAAAGTTGGGTTGCGACCTATCCTCTGACATCCTGACATTAAGAGTCACCTGGCCTGAGGTCAGAGGAATGAATATTCAGTGACCCACCTATGTCACTTCTAACTGGCAGAAATTAGAAAGCTGTGAAATAAATTGGTCAAAGAAGCTGTCAAACTCATCGCATCATCTATACTTTAAGGCCCAGAACTGCAGTGCTTTCTGCTCCCTCCAGCCACTTACCTTTTTGACTCACTTCTTATATTTTAATGAGCCAATCAGACTCGTATGTATTGATTTTCTGTTATTTCTACCCAATACTATAAGATGTGCTGTTGAAAAAATTATTTTAAAAACTACAACTACAGGGAAAAGAACACTTTTTCAAGGCACAACAATTAACAGGGCATGCGCTATAAATCTGTAATAGATAATAATTTTCTACAAATCAGGCCAGGCATGGTGGCTCATGCCTGTAATCCCAGCACTTTGGGAGGCTGAGGCGGGTAGATCACCTGAGGTCAAGAGTTCGAGACCAGCCTCGCCAACATGGCGAAACCCTGTCTCTACTAAAAACACACAAAAAATTAGCTGGGCATGGTGGTGGGCACCTGTAATCCCAACTACTCAGGAGGCTGAGGCAGAAGAATTGTTTGAACCCAGGAGGCGGAGGTTGCAGTGAACCGAGATTCAGCCACTGCACTCCACTGTACTCCAGCCTAGGTGACAAGAGTGAAACTGTCTCAAAAAAAAAAAAATCCAAGGACATTTTAACGATGCAGACACACTCCAAGTTTCTCACTCTGGAATGCTTGGGACACAAGAAAGTGACAGGGTGCTTCCGCAGCAAAAAGGATGCACGCTGCTGTTTTTAGAATTCCTTCTGGTGTACGGTCTACTCAGCCCCTCAGGGGAAAAGCATGTGACACTCTCAGTCATATGAGACGACAGCTGTCTTGCTGTCATGGTCATACCCAGAACTATTCTGCCACCACCACAGCTGCTGGTGGAGCCCAGATGGGTGTGTCCATGCATAGACAAGCAGCAACAAAGACAAACAACCGTCATCACAAAGGTGCCTTTCGTGACAGGCAGAGCATGAGCCACAGGCCCTGCTGGAGCTTTTTAAAATTTAAATAAATGGATATTTTTAAAATAAATACACATGATTGAGCATGTGTAGTATGTAAAAACATAAAGATTAATTTCAAATGTAATGTTTTTATTACTATGTAATCTCACCATCCAGATATAAATCTTATTAACACTTCTGCTCAATTTCCTTCAGTCATGTTTTTGCATGTGTATGTCTCTGTGTGTGTGTGTGGAGAGCCTTTTTAAAAAAATTCTCACTGTCTCTATCATTCACTTTGAAATAATTTCAGGCTTATAGAAAGATTGCAAGAACAGAACAAAGAATTCCAATACAGTCTTACCCAGATTCCCCAAATACAAACATTGTCATATTTGCTTCATATCTCTCCAGCTTTCTCTCTCTCTCCTACATACATTACTTTTTTTGAACTATCTGATGGTAAATTGCCAACCTCATGCCCGCTTCCCTTTAAATACTTCCATGTGGCTGGGCAGAGTGGCTCATGTCTACAATCCCAATACTCTGGGAGGCCAAAGAGGGAGGATTGCTTGGGGCCAGGAATTTGAGAACAGCCTGGGCAACATAGCAAAACCCCATCTCTACCAAAAAAAAAAAAATTTTAATTAGCTGAGGTGTGGTGGTGCACACCTGTAGTCCCAGATACTCAGGAGGCTGAGGTGGGAGGATCCCTTGAGCCCGGGAGTTTGAGGCTGCAGTGAGCCATGATCACACGTCGAGCTACGAGGTGCACTCCAGCCTGGAGACAGAGCAAGACCCTGAGTCAAAATAAAGAAATAAATACTTCTGTGTGTATTCTCTAAAAACAAGACCAGTCTTACATATACCCCCAGATTTGATTTATCAAAATCAGAAAGTTCACATTGAGATTATAGTAGAATTTAATCTACACAGAATTTGTTTAATTTCACTAGTTGGCTCACCATTGCTCTTTTAGCAAAATAAAAGATTCTGGTCCAGGATCTAGTCCAAGAAAACTTATGACATTTGTACCCTTGGTGTCCTTTAATCCGAGTAGTTCTTCAGTCTTTCTTGTCTGGCTTTGACACTTTTGAAGAGTAAGGGTCAATTATGTTATAAAAGAGTTTTGAGTTTTTTGGTGTTTCCTCTTGATTAGGTTCATGTTATGCATCTTGGCTGGAATATTGCAGAAGTGATGCAGTGTTTTTCTTAGTGCAGGAGGCACGTGCTGTGGTTCTGACACACGACTGATATTGTTAACTCTCATCATTTGATTAAGGTCATTCCTACCAACATGTTCTACTGTGAAAGTTGCCATTTTACCCTTTGAAATTAAAAGCTGTCTAACAGGGAGCAACTAGATACTATATAAATATCCTGTTAAATCCTTAAAATTGTACTTGTGGCTGGGCATGGTGGCTCACACCTGTAATCCCAGCACTTTGGGAGGCCAAGGCAGGCAGATCTCTTGAGCCCAGGAGTTCAAGACCAGCCTGGGCACCATGGCAAAACCCTGTCTCTACAAAATACATACAAAAATTAGCTGGTTGTGGTGGTGTGTGCCTGTAGTCCCAGCTACTCGGGAGGCTGAGGTAGGAGGATTGCTTGAGCCTAGGAGGTTGAGGCTGCAGTGAGCCAAGATTGCACCACTGCACTCCAGCTTGGGTGACAGAGCGAGACCTTGTCTCAAAACTAAAATAACATTTTACTTGCTGTTTTTACCATCCTTTGATGATTCTTGCTGCATCAGTTATTATTATGATGGTATCGAAAGGCAGTTCTCTCATTCCAACATTCCTTGTTTATTAGTTTGAATGCTGCTCTAAGGAAGCACTTTTTATTCTCTCCATCCATTTATTTATGTATTTATTCATTCATTTATATCAATGTAGATACTCATGGATTGTAATTTTATTCGATGAATGATAATCTGCTGCGCTTTTATTTTGATGCTCAAATTGTTCCAGAGTTGGTCAGTGGGAGCCTCTTGGACCTGGTTCCTATGTCTTTGTGACATGTCCCTATTATTCTTTGAGCATTTCTTTACTTACTTGCACAGCAAAATGTTTCATTTTTGGAATCAGCCAACTCTCCAAGGAGCTCTGGTTCCTTTCAGTGGAGGGTGGTGTTTAAAAACCATGCCTGGGCACTAAATGTGCTCACTGCTACCAAATGTCATTGCTTTTAGACACTCTCAGCAAACAGAGCCAGGTATTTGTCTGTGTCCTGAGATTCATATTGATTTCTATAACTACATATTTAAAGCTATGTATTTAGACTGATACCTCCAATTCCAATCCAACACTACAAGATGCTTTGTAGCTTTCATGTATTTGTAATTCCATTCTTTGATAGTACAAAACCCTGGATTCCATTATTTTGTCAATCCTAGAATATACATAGTTTCAGAACTGCTAACACATAACACTGTAAAAACAAACCTACAAACCTACTAGCTACCATAATTACTTACAGTTTTTGTCTTTAACCTGAGGATATAAAGTCAAATTCTTCTGTTCAAAAATACTTGGTTACTTCCCCATGCTCCCTTTCGGGTGGTGATTGTTTAGTTTAATTTTTTTTATTATTATTTTTTAATTTGAGACAGAGTATAGCTCTTGTTGCCCAGGCTGGAGTGCAATGGCTCGACCTCGGCTCACTGCAACCTTCACCTCCCCAGTTCAAGCTATTCTCGTGCCTCAGCTTCCCAAGTAGCTGGGGCTACAGGCATGCACCATGACACCAGGCTAATTTTTGTATATTTAGTAGAGACAGGATTTCACCATGTTGGCCAGGCTGATCTCTAACTCCTGACCTCAAATAATCCACCCACCTTGGCCTCCCAAAGTGCTGGGATTACAGGCATGAACCACTGCGTCTGGCCCTAATTTTTAAAATTTCTTTTTATAGTACACCATCTCTCTATTCATGTATGTTGCAAATATTTCTTTAAACTTATTTTCCACATTTATATTTTGTTTTCAGTACTGTTAAATGGAACTTTTAAAAGATGCATATTATCAAAAGAAGTAATTTTTTTCATGGCTTTTGTTAGAAAATTCTACTATATTTGAAATTAGGTAAATATTCATTCTATTCATCTAGTAGTTTTGTATTTTCGATGTTTGCAGTTAATCTCCTTATTCTCTTCTGGAATTTACTTAGGTATGTGCTAAGAAGAAAAATCTAACTTTTTTCCCACATGTAGTCAAGCATATTTCCCAGGACATTTTTGCTATTTAAAAACTAAATGGCCATTTAAAAAAAAAAAACAAATATTTCTATTTTTATCATCTGTGTTTTCCTATCTGTAAACTGGGTATAACAATTTCCACCTCATCATTGCGTTGCACACAGAAAACATGAACTCAGCTGGGTGCGGTGGCTCATGCCTGTAATCCTAACACTTTGGGAGGCCGAGGCAGGTGGATCACTTGAGGCCGGGAGTTCGAGACCAGCCTCGCCAATATGGTGAAACCCTGGCTCTACTAAAAACACAAAAATTAGCTGGGCGTGGTGGTGCGCATTTGTACTCCCAGCTGCTTGGGAGGTTGAGGCAGAAGAATTGCTTGAGCCCAGGCAGTAGAGGTTGCAGTGAGCCAAGATCATGCACTGTATTCCAGCCTGGGCAACAAAGCGAGACCCTGTCTCAAAAAAGGAAAGAAAACATGAACTCAAGTCCTGCCAGACTAGTGTTTTTTTGTTTTGTTTCGTTTTTGTTTTTGTTTTTTAGACACGGAGTCTCTCTCTGTCGCCCAGGCTGGAGTGCAGTGGCACGATCTTGGCTCACTGCCAACCTCCGCTGCCCAGGTTCAAGCGATTCTCCTGCCTCAGTCTCCTGAGTAGCTGGGATTACAGGCACTCACCACCACACCCAGCTAATTTTTGTATTTTTAGTAGAGACAGGGTTTCACCATGTTGGCCAGGCTGTTCTCAAACTCCCGACCTCAGGTGATCTGCCCGTCTTGGCCTCTCAAATTGCTGGGATTACAGGCGTGAGCCACCGTGCCTGGCCTAGTGTATTCTTACATGCAAGGAAAGCACTTTGAAATGTAGATTTTGACACCTGACACCCTGAATTAATGTACCAAAGAGAGCTTCAGTTGATTATAACTTAACCTGGAGCCGAAATGAAGCACTTTGGGGGAACTGTTCACACTGGGATATTCTCGGTCTCATTCCTCTGCATCTTGTTTTTCTCCTTTTGCCAGTCCCTGGATAGGCCATTCCTCAGATACAGAGGAAGAAAAATGAGATCAACTGCAAGACAAGAAAGGGAAGGAAGTAAGTGACGAGCAAAATGTACTAGATTAAAAGAGAAACCTGCCAAGAATTTTACCCCAAATTTCTTCTCTATATGCCTTTCTTTTTTTTTTTTAAATGGAGTTTTGCTCTTGTTGCCCAGGCTGGAGTGCAATGGCACTATCTCGGCTCACTGCAACCTCTGTTTCCCAGGTTCAAGCGATTCTCCTGTCTCAGCCTCCTGAGTAGCTGGGATTACAGGTGCCCATCACCATGCCCAGCTAATTTTTTTTGTATTTTTAGCAGAGATGGGGTTTCACTATGTTGGCCAGGCTGGTCTTGAACTCCTGACCTCAGAGGGTGATCCACATGCCTCGGCCTCCCTAAGTGCTGGGATTATAGGTGTGAGCCACTGCACCTGGCCTCTCTATATGCTATTTTTATTCTCACATTTATTCCTTACACACACACATTTGTTCAAGAAAGAAATACAATATTGCGGTGTACTGACTCTCGCCTTTATAGACTTATTAAAAATTGCAGACATAACCCCTCGCATGCAATACATAAAACTCCAAGTTGATATTAAATACAGACTAGAGAATGAGTATACTACTGCAAGATTATCTATTCTGTGGGTCACTTTAAAGGACTAGCTCTCCTGGTACATTTAAATCTACCCAGCTGACAAAATACAAGGTTCACAGTTGCAGAAATTAAAGCTCATGCCACTTCTGTTTGACAGCTGAAAGTCCACTCAGGGAACACTGTAATCATCTAGTTGACCTTCATCCAGAAGGTATTTTATATGTGGCCTTACTGAATAATATAGCAATGCTTTACAACATTTTATGATTACACAGACTTAGGAAAAACCACTGGTTACATTAGGTACTCACAGAGTCACTAAATGGGGGTCACTGCAGCTACAGCAAAGGATCTATCCCACACAGTCAACGTTATAGGCATTTTCAGCCGCGGGGATGTAGGCCCTTTTCTTCCCTCCCATCTCCACCTACACAAGCATTTGGAAGAGTCTCTGCCAGGGCCGATGATGCTATTATTAGTGAAGCCTCCTTCTTGAAGGGCCTTGTGGTTCGGTGCCTGACTCAAGAGTGGTGAGGTTATGTTCCTTGTATGTCTAATGGCATCAGAACTGTTTTAATGATGCGGGGTCCTTTTGGTTTTGAGGCCAGTTCCTAGCCACCTACAGCCTGCAGTCTAACCTCTTCAGAGGATGTAGAACCCCTTCTGATTTCTTTGGAGTTTAAAGAGATTCTTGAGAGGAGGCAGGAGAGAAATGGAGTTGGCGGAATTCTGTCCCAGAGAGTAGCAGGGAAGGAGGTGATAGCTGTTGCCAGGCCCTGAAAGAGAAGAGCTACCTAGTAACTAAGGCTTCCAGGATTCTAAGGGGCTGATTGCAAATTCTGCCTTGTGGGCCCATGCTCTCTGCCATCTCATTTCCACTTTCACAGCTTTCAACACTAATACACCATTGGAGGTGTTCGCACTGCACCCTATATACCTCTCTTTCAAGCACTAATATTGCAGTGGTTCTCCAAGTGTGAGCCCTAGGCCAGCCATAGCAGCATTTCCTGGGATTCCCAGACTGGCTGAAGACTGAGTCTGTAACTCTGGGGTATAGCCCCCCAATCTGTGATTTAAAAAGCCCTCCTGATGATTCTCATGCATACGTAAATACGTAATTTTTTTTTTTTAGACGGAGCCTCCCTCTGTCGCCCAGGCTGGAGTGCAGTGGCACGATCTTGGCTCACTGCAACCTCTGCCTCCCCAGTTCAGGCAATTCTCCTGCCTCAGCCTCCCAAGTAGCTGGGACTACAGGCGCATGTCACCATGCCCGGCTAACTTTTATATTTTTAGTAGAGGCAGGGTTTCGCCATATTGGCCAGGCTGGTCTCGAACTCCTGACCTCAAGTGATCCACCCACCTCACTCTCTGAAAGTGCTGGGATTACAGACGTGAGCTGCTGTGCCTGGCCTGATGCATGCTTAATTTTAAGAACCACTGCTGAACTATAATTGTTGATTAATTAGTCTATATTCTCAGCAAGACAGAAAGTTCCTTCAGCATACAGACAAACGTATTTATCAATACACTTAAAGTAAAGACTATTATGGCTGAGTGCAGTGGCCCATACCTGTAATCCCAGCACTTTGGGAGGATGAAGTGGGAAGATACTTGAAGCCTGGAGGTTGAGACCAGCCTGGGCAACATAGTGAGGCCCCCTTCTCTTCAGAACATAAATAAATGAAATAAATAAAGTAAAATAAAAAATTAGCCAGGTGTGATGGAGCACACCTGTAGTCCCAGCTACTTGGGAGGCTGAGGCAGGAGCATGGCTTAAGCTCAGGAGTTTGAGGCTGTAGTGAGCTATGATCATGCCACTGTATTCCAGCCTGGGTAACAGAGCAAGACTCTATCTCAATTTTTTTTTAAGCATAGAATATACAAAATGTATGTTGCATGAATAAATGAGTGAAACAAATAGACTAGTGCAGTCCTAGGTAAAATGCTCAGTAAATTCTTAAGACAGCATCCAGCTTGAGTTATGTGGATATCTAATGATCTGGAGCCAATGAATTCCTCCTCCCACCCCAGAAATAAAAGAATATCCATCAGTGAAAATAAGCATTTCTCTAGAGTTCATTTAGAATGTTAGGACTCAGTTACGTTTAAATAAATGTATATTTTTCTGATGGGAAATGGAATGTAGTTCCATTAAAAAGCAATTAGGAAATGCAAAGAAAGTATTATATATATAATTTGTTATAAATAAGTATATATATAAAATCTTACTTCACCACCTTCTGAGTCTTCTTTCCTATGCACCTTTTTTACATATTGCCCTCAATTATGATGTTAAAAATAAAAATTATTATTTTCCTTATAAAAGCAACACAAACTCACTCAAAAAGATTAGAAAATACAGAAAAGCATCAAAAGGAAAGTAACACTGCCAATAACTTCATTATTGAGAGATGTAACTACCCTGGGGAATATCACTTCAAAGCACACTCGCTGTTACCCCTCAAGACAAGCTTGTGGAAAAAGCTCATATGCTGGATGTGGCCCAAAAATCCAAAGCTTAAAGTCTGCTCTCTGATTTTCCTTGGCCCCACCTTGACTATTTTACGATGGGTTAATTTAGGGGGGAAACATTGGAATCTTCCAAGAGTTTAGAGCTCCCACAGAAAAGCCTGTTTCAAAAAAGTGTGAAACCATCCTTGCCTTCCTGTGGGATCAAGTTGTGCTGGCACTGGTCTGCTCTCTCTGGTCCTTGACTTTGCTCAGGGATTCAGAGCCAGAGTTATCCATGAATGTCCATCTTGCAGTGTTTCTTTCTGTTATCTTTAAAATAATCATTTGAAAATAAATAGGCTGTTGTCCTCACCATCTTGGGATTTTCCATTAAACCTGGCTTTATGGGCTGTGAGATTTGCAATCATCACCAGCAGAAGTCAATTCTGTGGCTTTGATGTTCTGCTGGGAGAGAAGAAGCAGGTGATGAACTGGGAGACAAGGCAATCTCAAATAAGGAACAAGTAATTAAGGGACAAATGGCAGCTTTTTTTCTTAAATGACTTTTATAATTTTACAAATTTATAATTATAAAAGCGTTAAGGTAAAGCTTATTGTGGGTATTTGTGAAACAGAGTGAAGTATTAAGGAGAAGGGAAAAATCACACATCCTCCCAAATCTAAAGTAATCTCTGTTAGCTTTTTACCTTATTTTATTTTATTTTATTTTTATTGAGGTGAACTCTTGCTCTGTCACCCAGGCTGGAGTACAGTGGCATGATCTCTACTCACTGCAACCTCCACTTCCCAAATTCAAGTGATTCTCTTGCCTCAGCCCCCTGACTAGCTGGGACTATGGCACATGCCACCAAAGCCCATCTAATTTTTGTATTTTAAGTAGAAATGGGGTATCACCATGTTGGCCAGGCTGGTCTCGAACTCCTGACCTCAAGTGATCTGCCCACCTCGGCCTCCCAAAATGCTGGGATTACAAGCATGAGCCACTGCACCCAGCCTTACTTTTCTGAGACAGGTTCTCACTCCATCACCCAGTCTGGAGTGCAGTGGCCTGATCTCAGCACTCCACCCCCCCGGGCTCAAGGGATCTTCCCACCACGGCCTCCAAAGTAGCTGGGACTACAGATGTGCACCAGCATACCTGGCTAACTTTTTTATTTTTTGTAGAGACAGGGTTTTGCCATGTTGCCCAAGGTGGTCTCGAACTCCTGGGCTCAAGCAATCCTCCCACCTTCACCTCCCAAAGTGCTGGGATTACAGGTGTCAGCCATTGTGCCTGGCCCCTCTGTTAACTTTTTGTCTTGCATTTGTCTTCATGTGTGTTGAAAAATATTGTACATAAAACTCACAACCTCATTTCTTTACTAAGACTGCATACAAATTTCTGTATCTTATTAGAACAGTCTTCAGGAGCATCATTTTAGTGACATTTTCTATCACATACTGTACTGAATCATTTTCCTGTTGCTTTTAATTTTTGTTGGAAACATCTCTTATACATACATTTTTGACCATCTCTTTATAATGTTGGGATAGATTTCTGAGAGTAGAGTTACTTGATGAAGAGATTTGGATGCATTAATGACTTTCAATAGATATTGCTAATTGCTTTCCACAGCGCTCCACCTTCCACTGCTGCGACCTCAGTGTGCTGTGACCTGTGACTCCAAAAAAGGCAACCTTTAAAGGGATAGCGTTTGAAAGCATCTATAGCACTAGATGTCAAAAATAAAGTAGGTTTACTGACACAATCCCTCTTAGCATCTGTATCTTATAATCCTTTTTTTTTTTTTTTATGAGACAAGATCTTGCTATGTTGCCCATGCTGTTCTTGAACTCCTGGGCTCAAGCGATCCTCCTTCCTCAGCCTCCCAAGTAGCTGAGGTTATAGGCATGCAGCGCCATTCCCAGCTACAGTCTTCCCAATGCATTGCAAATCTGTTTTGGATTCCATCTGGGCA